TTTATCAATAAACTCGAACCTCCGTGATTAATTATATTAATCTGATTGATCGATTTACCTCAATATGTTTAAGATATAACATTCGTTGATTAATTAAATTACTGACAGAATAGTTAATCAACTTCTTATTCAATTCTGAAATTAGTACCATTCAGATCATTAACCATTATGTTAGACAATCGTCTACCTGCAGGGTTTAACATAATGTACCTTCCTGAGGTCATTTCGGGGACGTCATCAATCCAACACACTGGAACATAGTGACCATAAATAATTTATCATAGCACATCATATAATCATTCTCATTTACCAAAATACCTAGTATGTCATCCTAATAAAAATGGGAATCACTTGGTAAGTCAAATAAATAAGAAGTGAATATATGCCTATTTTATATTATCTTACAGCTTAAGAGAACGCATCAATCACCAAAGGTCTAAATTACAACAACGATCAATGAGTCTCATAATCTTATCCTTTCACGGCCATGTTCAACACTTATCATAAATGCTAGTTTAATTCTTCAGTCAAAGACAAATTGAATCAAGAATACACCACAGTCTTTTTCCAAGAGGGGTCTTACTGCATGTCTAGACTGTGAACAAATAGTTTAGTCTTATAAGGAACTGATAGATGATCTTTCTATTCGAAACATTTTGAACCACACTATCTCAATATAAGACAAGGAGTATGATTTGTATAAATAAGTAAACTGCAAACATATGTACTTTATCTGAAACATGATGGGCAGATCAAAATGGAATTAATAGAATCTGCAAAACATAGCTTTTACAGCATGCCTCTAACAGGAGTGTCAAGCAGAAATGCGTGGCAGACTCAACCATGGATGCTGAGTATGTAGCAGGCTCAGAGGCAGCGAAAGAAGCTGTTTGGCTCAGGAATTTTCTCCTTGACCTTGATGTGGTACCGAGTTTTCACACTGCGATTACAGTGTTCTGTGATAACAGCGGAGCAGTAGCAAATTCGAAGGAGCCACGAACTCATAAAGCGAGTAAACACATAAAGCGCAAGTACCACCTGATACAAGAAATTGTTGGACGAGGAAAAGTCGTTGTTGCCAAGATACAGTCAGAGGACAACCTAGCAGACCCTTTTACGAAGAGCCTACCAGCGAAAGTATTTACAAGACATGTAGAAGGAATGAGAGTCAGACGTTAGGGCGACATAGTAGACTAGTCTTTGAGAATTAGATTGAAATAAATTGTGGTTAGTTTTTTAGCCATGAGCTTATTTAGCATAAGTGAGAGATTGTTAGAGGTATGCTGTAAAAGCTATGTTTTGCAGATTCTATCAATTCCACTTTAATCTGGTCATCATGTTTCGGTCCAAGTACATATGTTTGCAGTTTATTTATTTATGCAATCATACTCGTTGTCTTACATTGAGATAGTGTGGTTCGAAGTGTTTCGAACAGAAAGTTCACCTATCGGTTCCTTGTAATATTAAACTATTTATCCAGTTGGTCTTTGACTGGAGAACTACACTAGCACTTATGATAAGTGTTGAACATGACCGCAGAAGGATAAGATTATGGGACTCACTGATCGTTGTTGTAATCTAGACCTTCGGTGATGATGCGTTCTCTTAAGCTGTAACATAATATAAAATAGGCATATATATTCATTTTTTGTTTATTTGATTTACCAAAGGCGATTCCTATTCTGGTAGGATGACATACTCGGTACTTTGGTGAATGAGGGTGTTTATATGATGTGCTATTACAAATTATTTACGGTTACTACGTTCTAGTGCGTCGGATTGATGACGTCTCCAAAATGAGCTCAGGAAGGAACATTATGTTAAACCCTGCAGGTGGACGATTGTCCGACATAATGGCTAATGAACTGATTGGTACTAATTTCGAAAATGAATAAGATGTTGATTGATTACTTTGTCAATAATTTAATTAATCGACGGATGTTATATCTTAAACATAGGGAGGTAAATCGGTCAATCAGATTAATATTAATTAATCTAGTGGAGGTTCGAATTTATTGAATAAATTAGGAGCTAAATGGGGAGAACAATAATATCACATTAGTGAGATGTTTCATTATTTAACTCTATTTAGATTAAGGAATTAATTTTATTCCATAATTAAATATTCCATTAGGAAGGGAATATTCCTTTTAGAATATTACCTAGGGTTATGAGACTATGGAATGTTCTAAAAGGTAATTATTAGTAGGAAGAATTCCAACCTAGTTGGGAAAGTATATGGAGTAGAATTAGGATTCCTTAGCCAAATGGGATAAACCCATAGTTAGCACTTCCTTTAGGTCCCTAATGGAGCCTATAAATACACCATGTCCCGAACCTCTTGAGAGATGATGATGTTGGCCTATTTTTTCCTTCTACATACAAAGAGAAATCACGTTATTCGAGAGTTAGAGAGATTCGATTAATCGCTCCACCAAGATTAATCGAAGCAGGTGGTTTAGGTAATCCATTAGAAGGCTTTTGGGTAATATTTATTCGAACCCTCTTGTTCATATTTTCCGGTCACCTTCCACCACCGCCCGCCGCCGCCGTTAGCCACCGAAAATCGCCGCCGTCGGTAGCCACCGGAAATCGCCGCCGCCACGAGTCGCCGCCCAGTTCCACCGGAGTTCGCTCGTGCCCAGTCCAACGCAGCCGCTCACCCCTGCCAGCAGCCGCGCACCGCCAAGCCCAGGCGCACGCTCCCAGCGATGCCCAACAACGCCCAACAACAACCGTACGCTGCCCCTGCTCGCGTTACGCCATCGCCTCCCGTCGTCCATCCCGCCCGATCCCAGCGCGCAAGAAGTACGCGCGCCCAGTCCGCGTGCACCCAGGTGACTTGCCAAGCACGCCCGCGTGTGTCCAGACGCCAGCGTCCAATCCGCCTCGGCTCCGGAGTCCAGCCCAGCACTCGCGCGACATCCCAGTGCCCGTCTGCGAGAAGCTACCATTTGCGTGTCCCACCCAGTGCCCAATGCGCACCTGCCAGCGAATCGAGCCATGCACAACACCCATCCACCTGATCACGAGAGTCGACCACGATTGTCGTCCGCGACCAGCGACCTAAAGTCCGCGACTCGACACCGAGGCCACCCGAGCTTGAATCCATGCTTCGTTCAACAACTCGATTAGAATCGAGTAAAGGCCAAATCCGTCAACCCATCGAATTGTGGGGTTCAGACGAACTTCATCAACGGTATTCAGAATAGCCTCTGAGTCGACAAAAATTTTAAAAGGTAATGTCCATATCCTAACTATAAATTCCGCTACGTTAGGATTTATTTCGATAATAAGTTCAATACTATGCATGTCATTGACGTTCCTTATAGAACCCAACACCTCAGTGGTCATTTAATTTTTGGTGTTCGACCCTAATGGCGGGTCACTCGATTTTCGACCTCAGTAGTCATTCGGTTTTTGGTGTTCGACCCCTCAGTGGTCGTTTAATTTTTGGTGTTCGACCCCAGTGGCGGGTCACTCGATTTTCGACCTCAGTGGTTGTTCGACTTTTGGTGTTCGACCCCAGTGGCGGGTCACTCGATTCTTGACTTCATTGGTCGATCGGTTTTTGGTGTTCGACCCCAGTGGCGGGTCACTCGATTTTCGGCCTCAGTGGTCGTTTTGATTTTTGGTGTTCAACCTTAGTGGCGGGTCACTCGATTTTCGACCTCAGTGGTTGTTCGGTTTTGGTGTTCGACCCAGTGGCGGGTCACTCGATTCTCGACTTCAGTGGTCGTTTGGTTTTTGGTGTTTGACCCCAGTGCGGGTCACTCCATTTTCGACCTTAGTGGTCGTTCGATTTTTGGTGTTCGACCCCAGTCGGGTCACTCGATTTTCGACCTCAGTGGTCGTTCGATTTTTGGGGTTCGCGGGTCACTCGATTTTCGGCCTCAGTGGTCATTCGGTGTTTATTTGGGTCCTGATGCTCATTTGGAGGTTTGGTGACTATTTGGTGGTCGAGGATTTTTTCAAATTATATACTCAGTGGCAGGTTGACGGAAATAACCGAAGAGCCATTTCACTCTTGGATCGAGTCATGCTTACTCGACCAGAGTGAGAGGGAGACTAGATGATATGAGATATTATATTACACCGGCTTTAATGGATAAGAAGGAATATATTGGATAATAAGCCCACAAATGAGCTAGGACACATGGCATAATGATATGGGTCAAGCCCAACTTGGGCACTAAGGTACACTCCCGTTGTAAAAGTGGCCAAGGTATCTCAAACCCTCATTCTCTCTACATTCATAATTATACTATTGAGATTTGGAGTTTTGGAGTGATATTGACTTAGGCATCGGAGGCCCGATGACGGGACCCTCTCGACGTTGGGTTCTTGCAGGTAAGGAGGCATTTCGAGTTGAAAGAGCCTAGGTGAAGCCAATTTCACCAACAGTATTCAATAATTTTTTTCAAACTAATTATTTAGAACTACTTTTTTTTTTCTAACTCATTAAGTAATTTTTTTTATTAAAATAGCTAATTATTTTTAGGTGTAAACAATCACTTTACAATTTCGTACATAGATTGCTATAAATAATAATTTTAATATTATTTTATTCAATTAATTTGTCATAATCATTCAAGATTGCATCAATATAAAATTTAATATGTAAGTTAAATAATTTATATTTATATTTATTTTTATTAATAATAAACCTTATAAAAAATATAATTCACTTATTATTCAACTTATGATTTTAAATATTACATAACACCTGTTAATATATAAAATTTTATTTGGGTGCACCAAAATCGAATACTAGTTTAGTGTAATATAAATGAACATCAAGTAGTGACGTTTTTGTTGCGATGAGAATTGGTAGGCGGCCCGTGTTAATAAATTTCCAGAAAGTAGTAGTAGTTGTTGGATAGTAGTAGCAGGGGCGTTGATATCTAAGAATCGAACCCCAGAGAACAAGTATTCCCGTTTCCCCCCCTTGGCTGTTTATCGATTTGCTCGCCCCGTAGCTTCTTTGCTGTGCTAATTTTATGACTTCGGAGGCAAACGGCGATGTCTGGAGGCGGAGATCGACACCGCCGGCAAAGCTGCCGCCCCCTACCCCAGCGGAGTTCAAGGGCACTCCGGGATCGATTTTTCATACATTATTGGCACTTATCTTGTGGCTTGGTTCCGTCCATTTTAACTTTATCGTCATCTTGCTTTCCTTCGTCTTCCTCCCTTTTCCCATAGCACTCGGGTTCGTGTTTGCTTTTTTGTATGTGCGTGTTTCTGCTTGCAGTTGTGCGTGTGGTCATCTTATCAAAATAACATTGTCCTGCTCATTTCAGAGTCATAGGATTGCTGCTCATATTCATAGTAATCCCAATTGATGAGCGGAGTAAGTGGGGCCGTAAACTATCCAGGTCAGCTTGTGCAATTCTGAATCTTTTCGATTTACTGCCTTGATGCATGGATCGTATTTTTTCTTCAGTTTTCATAAGTGAGGTTGGATATATTGGTGAATGTTTATCAGGTATATATGTAAGCACGCCGTTGGTTATTTTCCGGTGTCTTTGTATGTGGAGGACATTAAAGCCTTTGATCCTAATGAGGCCTACGGTAATTCCAGTACTACTGATCTTTGTTCCTTTGAGTAGTGCTTCTTCCCAGTTTTTCTTTTACTCTGTTTTTGGTTTCTTGATTATGGGGTATTCTAACTCATTAAAGCCAAGAGTTGAAATTTTTTTCATTTCCTTTATGGTACTTCTAGTTTTGGATGAGGGTCAAGAACTACTTGCACTATATGATAAATGAATAGTTCCTAGAGATTAATGGAAGTGGGTCTTTCCTAGAGATAATGGAAAAGTTGATAGTTACATCATGATGTTATGCGAGACAGTATTATGATACATTTCAAGATCTTTGTTGTGTGGTTGGTGGATGACATCATCCAAAGAGCTTGAGCATGCTGTTTTTCAAATCTTATATATAAATAACAGCGGCCAAATAATTGCTAAGGGTGTGTTTGGTAAACCTAGCTGATAAGCTAGCTGATAAGCTATAAGCTAGCTTATAGCTTATAGCTTATGATTTATAGCTAAAAAGCTAGCTTATATGATAAAAGTGTTTGGTAAAACTAGCTTATAAGCTAGCTGAAATAAAAAAGTCAACTAGCTTATTTTGAAACGCTACCTAAACAAGCTTATCAAATAAGCTCGAGCTTTTTAAATAAGCTCGTCCTACCAAACGGGGCTTATTTGATACAGAAAGCTTATAAGCTAACCAAATAAGCTATAAGCTAGCTTATTATACGTGTCAAACACACCCTAAGATTGAAATATATAAATAAGCAACGTCAAACTCAAGTCTTCGTTCTTACCATGCCTTTACACCCTGCCCACAACACCTGATCACTTTACAGACTTACTCTTACGCTGTATGAGTTGCGACCTTTCACAATTTTAATAAATTTCGCCTTGTGTAAATTTGTGAGGTGTCATAGTTCTATGTTCGCAAGCTGCTCTTATGCCCTCTCGGCAATAACCTTTTGCTGCCGATTCATTTTAAGCTTCTTGTTTAGCTTTGCTTTAATTTCTATATCAAATGCCCTATGCTGTGGACTTCAGTGTTCATCTGGGGTTTACTCTGTTATTTGCCTGGTTCCATGGATGTTTTATTGAAACTCTTTTAACCTTCAAAGCAGCTAATTGACGAGTCAAGAATAATAAACAAGAAGAGAAAGAAGGCACATTTTGGAGAATGATTCAATGAAAAATAAACTTGCAATACCCATTTCCTTGTGTATCATCCTTTTATGAATTAATAGATGATTATCATCTTGAATTCCAATTCTAAATGACATTAACCATTGGCATTACTAACAAACAACACACGTGATGTTTGAGTCTCTGAATTGATATGCATGGTCGAACCTTTGTTCGTACAGTTGTTTAAGTGATGTTTCTTGAATAAGTTGTTACTTGTAGCAATTTATCTGATTTTGAAACTTGTCTACATCCAAATTTTTCTTTTATTATGATAGTTTTGCTTGAATCAATCTATAACCTTAGTCCTTTTTAATACAATATGGTGCAATGCTACCATGCTTAATCTGTTAATGTTATGATGAGGACTTTGTTTCTAAGGATTATAGGCTAGCTTGTTGCGTATTTAAAGAGCTTATAACCTTGTATTTAATTAAGTCTTTATTGGTAAGATGAATTTTATAAAGAACACATTGAGGTTGTTTATCGAATTTGGAGATACTTGAAGTCTGATCAAAGGAGCGTAAAAGTATTTACTGATGTAGATTGGGCTGGTTCGGTTGTCGACAGAAGATCGACTTCAGGGTATTATACCTTGTATGGGGAAATTTGATTACATGGAAAAGCAAGAAGCTTGTTTCTGGAGGCTGAATTCAGATCCATGGCCCAAGGAGAATTTGTGAATTCCTGTGGGTTTCTCCCAATTCTATTGATTTTATTATTTTTTTTAAAGAAACATCCCGAGGGGTGGGGGATTAAGGTTGGATCCCCAACTTTTATATAGTCAAGACCCTAATTGGGCAAAAATCAGAAAAAAATCACAGGTCTACACATCTCTAAACATAAACCGAAAACAAAAACGAAAAAAAGGAAAAAACAACCACCAAAACGAGAAGTATGAAGTGAACCTGGGCCGACAGGTGTCCTGCTCCACAAAGTGGGTCGAAGCACAAAAATATATGATGACTACTAGAATCTAAATGAGTGGTAGCCAACTTGGTCCATCTACACAAGAGAACGAAGGCGAAGAGAGGCGTTATCCAGGTGGAATGTCGGTTCTCCTCGCTGAAGATGTGCAAGATCCGTTAGCGAATCAACTGAAGTGTGGATATGATGTGATGTGCATGAGCAGGTGATGAATCTTCAACGAGCCCTGATGACCTGAGAAAAGGGTGGTGACAACGGCCTCATCCAGCTCAATCCAAATGTGAGTAGAGGTAGAGGCTGTAATCTGAACGGATCTGACCCTTCGCGCCGTAGCTCGAGGAGGCCTGTTGAGCCATGGAAAGCGGTAATGAGAGCTCCGTTGTAATCCAAGTCTATTGATCTTCTTGTAAAGGGAAATTGGCTTCATTCCTCATTCCTCGTATATTTGACTTCCTATTGAGAAAAAAGTATGAGCTTGTATCGAAACTGCCTTAGAATCCTCAACGAACTAGAAAAGGTTAAGCAACTCCCTATGTGATTGTACTCAGACAACAAGGTTGCAATAAGTATTGCTCACAATCTTGTCCAGCATGATCGAACAACGCACATTGAGATTTGATCGACGCTTTAGAAGAAAAACTTGAAGATGGGGTTATTCGTCTTCCGTTTGGTCCTTCTTGTAAGCAAACAAACAACCGACTTTTTCACTAAGGTGCTATCAAAGTCTAACTCTGAACACTTAAAAAACAAGTTGGGCATGATTGATATCTATGCACCCACTTGAGGGGGAGTGTTGGAAAGTTTTAGATTTGATATCATAGAATCACTATTATGATTTAATTTAGATTTTTGGAATATTTGATTTCTTCAAATTTTTGCTCCTTAAATCAAGGAGTCCTTTTTCTATTTAAAGCTATGTTACCCGGACTAGCCACCTACCGTCGGCGTACCCGTGTCAACACGACACGACACGGGTACTGGTATGAAATTCGGCTCCGATCCGGTCAAAACATACGTTGACTATTAACAGGTGTCGGGGCGGGTGAAGAAGATGTTGCGAACCTTGTGGGAAAGAAGGGAAAAAAGATGGATAAGGGTGAGGAAGTACCGGTTTGGCTGGTCGGATCTAAGGAAGAGGGCCTGGGGCATGATGGTAGCTGTGAATCAGGAATCTCCGGAGGAGACGAGGGGTTAGGGTTTTCTGAAAAATGAGGAATGGATAAGGGCTAAGTGGACTATGTTGGTATGGGGCCTATTCATTTGGGTCAACATCCTTTATATTATTAGTTCAAATTTGAGTTGTTTCTAATTTAGCTTATTAGCCGTGTTTTATGCCAAATTTACTTTAATTGGCCAAGGAAAAAAAGGTAAGCATTTTGGTTACTAATTTAATAAATACAATACTACTATTTGTAATATACTTGTATTGAATTATTATGAATCTAAATCTATATATTTTTTTCCTATGAATGTTGTAAAATTAATTAATTTCTTTCAATTTTACTACACTGACTGTCGTACTCACGTACCCGTGTTCCAAGTTTGGGTACGTGTCCCCGTATCTTAACTTTTAGAAATATAAACACCAGATCTCCGACACCTATACCCGAGTCCGTGTAACATAGATTTAAAGGCTTGGTGTAAATCATTAAATAATAAGAAAAAGTAGTTTCTTCTCTCCTGAGCGGCAAAGGGTGTCCTTTTTCTCGGACCCTTGAATCCAAGGGTACCGGCCGAGGACCAGGAAAGCCCTGATCTCATGGATTAGCCAGAACAGTGGAGAAGCCATTTTCCCTCCCCATTTTTCTTCTATTTTTTATTCAACAATTTTTGTTAAAGGAAATGTCAGAATGGGCAAACACTTAGTTATGTTTAGGGTATATGTATCACTTTTGACTACCTCCAAAACCTTACTACTTTAGTGATGAGCTTTGCGACAAATATAATCCAATGTATACTTATACCTTTTCTGGGTTTGGTATAATTTTGATTAGCGTATAGATTACAATACTCTGTGCTTATGTTTGATAACAGAAATTGTGATAGTCATGAATAGTTTGTTGCTCCTAGGCTGCTTGGTTATCTGGTGTAGCTTGATTGTTAGATGAGATATGTTGTTGCTTGGAGAAAGTTTGAATCTTATTCTTTGCAGTTCTCGGTTATGAGCCACATTCAGTTTGGCCTATTGGAGTTGTTGCACTTGCTGACCTTACAGGCTTCATGCCTCTCCATAAAATCAAAGTTCTTGCCAGTACCGCTGTACGATTCACATGCTTATCAAGAACTTTTATTATTATTATTATTATTATTATTATTATTATTATTATTATTATTATTATTATTATTATTATTATTATTATTATTATTATTATTATAATTATATTGATATCATGAAGTCGTAGAATTGACTTACCATGATTATATGTGCTTATAAAGAAAAAAACGATCAGGTGTTTTACACTCCATTCATGAGACATGTATGGTCGTGGTTGGGACTTTCACCTGCCTCAAGGAAAAATTTTACTACCCTTTTGGCGTCTGGTTATAGCTGTATCATTGTACCAGGGGGAGTTCAGGAGGCCTTCTATATGGAGCGTGGCTCTGAGGTTTGTCCTTCATAAATAAGCAACGCCCACGAAATGTTTCTGTGGGTTCGCCTGATTACACGTTAATCTATATTAGAATCCTCATTTTTATACCATCTCTTTTTCCCTCTGATTACACATTAATCCTCAAATATTGAATGGATAACAAATAGTGAATGGATTGCATATGCGGGTTATGATTTGCGATAAGAGTACTGGTAGAACTTAATTGGAAGAAGATATTTATGCCGGCTTGTGTTTATCGAATAGAACTTAACTGGAAGAGGAAACCGATGCCAGCTTATTTTTATTGAACTTCTTGAAAATTTCATTTTTATCATTATTTGATGATCATTATATGTTGAAATTGTTAATTGTAGGAGTGTTTGTTCAGGTTGCTTTGGCTAAAATTACTGAACTTATGAAAATAAAGAAATTAGATAATATTTAGAAGCATCAATTGTTTTTGTAAGAAAGTTTCACAATTACATTTGTTGGTTTGTCTGTTCAAAGTATGTTTGAGTTTGTTTGCCTGCATGTAAGTTTTGACCAAATTTAGTAGTCCATAGATATTTAGTTTGTGGGGGTGTCTGGTATGATACGTAAGTATCTTTTTGTGCTAAGTTAAAAAACGAAAAGACTATTTCAATGATTGTCATCCACAGATTCACCTATATAAGCCGCAGCTACAGTTGCATAAATAAGTTTTGACCAAATTTAGTAGCACATAAATATTTAATTTATGGGGTGTCTATCATGTAATATCTAAGTAGATCCGTGGGATGAAGTTTAGGGGGTGATTGTTTATGGATTCAACTAGTTTTTTTATTTGGTTTATTTTTTAACTATAGTTAGTTTTGAAAAAATGTGGTATGGTTAGTTGTTAGTGAAAATATTAGAACAATATTTAAATATAATAATTAAAGTTGATTTGATGTAAAGTAGGAGAAAAATGATTGGAAGTGATGGTTAGTTAAAATTATGTGAGTGTATGAATAGTGAATTAAAGTTGATGTGATGTGTAAGAATGATTGGTTGATATTATTTAATTATATTGATAATATATGAGATAGTGAAGTTGGGTTAAAGTTGAGTTAAATTTGAGTTTTGATTGATTTTTTTACTGTACAAACCATAAAGAATCACCCCCTTTACCACTTCCTTTCCTCCCTTAGTTTGCCAAGTCTATCATCTGCTAGCAGCTCAGCTCATGTTCTTTTATGCGCAGCTAGCCTTTATTAAGAAAAGAAGAGGATTTGTACGTATAGCTATGGAGATGGGCAAACCGATGGTTCCTGTTTTCTGCTTTGGTCAGGTTTAATATCTTTCCTTTCACCTCATATCGATGAATTTTAGAAGTAAATGCAGCTAGCCGATGTTAACTTGCTGATACATGCTTGTACGCAATACATTACATCCACCTTTTACCCAAATGAGGGAATATTTCAAATTGATTTATTGTTGGATTAAAATATCATTCGAAATCTTTAGAGTCCAAAAGCACAATAAATGCCTTTTCTCTGTTATACTTCTGAAAAGATCTTTAATTTTCAAATTAAATCATTTTTGTATGAAACTAGATTTTGGAAGCTTTCGCCAATATGCAACTAAAAGCATATGTAAAAGTTGAATTATATCAGTTTTATGTAAAATTTTCAGCTTACAAATGACGTATTAATATACAGGTGAGAATTTTTTGGGGTTGAGGTTGATAAAAACATTTAACAAAAAAATGTACGTATGTCGAATAGTGGACAATAATATATGTATAATGTCACGAGATTTCTGCGAGTTTACCACTTGAACTTGATCGATTTGGAGAAAGGGGAAGATCGTGTTTGCTTGAAAATTCTTGGAATTGGAACCAGTCACCAAAAAAGCATGATTTAATTTTCAACTCTAACATAAAACTTATTATATATTACTTTTTCGGCCACAGTACCAAATTAAGACATATATAAACTTGAATAAGATTAGATGACAATAAGAAATCGAGCCCGAAGAAACAGCCACAAACAGTATGAGGAACACTCCTCTAGTTGATGATGAACTCTCAGTAACATACATCTCGGCTTTATGAACTTTTATAATTAAGAAAATAATCTACTGCAGATTCCTAAAACTAGAAATAAATGAGAGCTCCTAGCTTTTGGATTAAGACTTTAAGTTTTAAATCTCACTGCACAGAACTATAGAACACCAAACAATCCTTATGTCTACATATACCCATTGTTTTAGAGGACTCGGATCCGGGTTTTAGCATCTGGTTCCCCCACCCAACAGGTTCCCTTTCTTTCAAAGTGGCATTTCAAAAAAAGATTCGGACGAAAACCCTTTTAAAGCTGCTAAGACAGAAGGAAAAGGCTGAGAAAGAATAGCTCCGAAGCCTACGAATCGCTTGCCCCTGCGAACGAATCACCTGACTAACAATCATTTCTTCTACGGATTCACTGCAATTGGAGCTCCGCTGCTTCTTGACTCAACTAAATTTAACATGATGATTAAAGCATAAAAGGTAACACAACATCACCAACAATCGAATGCCTTATCTAGTGAAATGCGTGGATACATAAAACAATATGGCCACTTACTGGGAATTAAGACGGATAAAGAAACAAAGAGTATATGCAGCATCCTCAATTTATAATAATTACAATTTTAATATTCTATTACTGAATAATAAAATCAATTAAAATGTTATTTTAGAAACATTTGTAAAACCATGTTTGAAAACCAAGTGCAGAAGCTTGTAAAATGATTTATTAACGGCGCGAGGGGGTCGCCTCGAATAGGTGTGGTAAGGCACTCTTGCAGAATGCGCCACCATGGCGCTTGCTTCATGTGTGGTGACACCTCTGCTCCGCCTCACATTGTCGAGACACGCCAGCGCTTATTTATGGTTTCAATTTATGGGGCTCTACAACTTTGTTCTCAATTACTCATCTTTGCCCCAAAGCAATTACATTTGATAGTCAACTTCCAAAATCAAACCCCTACATAGTTTAATGTAAGTCTATATTTGTCCTAGAAATTCATCAAAGTACCATACCACCACCAAGTATTGGAAGTAGTCTGAAAACACAAATTAGAAACAACATTAGTGTAACTTTTCGCGGTGCTTTGCCTGCTCCATCAATATATAATTATTTTAATAAAAAACGGGGGTAGGCTAATGTGATATGCTTGACCGGACAAAAACTACTACTTGAGTGCTTGAACTTTACAATATAAAATGACTTCGAATTAATGTAAAGTATCTTATAATAATAAGGTGCTGAAAATAAGTATAACTAGAGGATAAATTGAATTCGAAGACATAAAGTGAAAGATTCAAATTTTGTTTCAAACAGGGCTGCAACTAGGTTCTTAAAGGCTGAAGGCTTAAGAACAAGGTGGCAGACTTGACCCAGCCCATTACTTCATTTTTATTTTGGCTGGGATTTTGGGAGTTGGGCTGAGGACTATTGTTTTGAACTAAGGGTGTCTTCTGTTCATTTTTTTTTTTTCCTGAAGGAAATTTGGCTTCTTTTGATTGGTGATTACTTTAAACATTTTTGTAATTTGGGTTGAAATATCATGGCCAAATGTATTTGGAATTGTGATGATATTGAGTTAACCGAGGAAAGAGAAAAAGATGACTGGTAATTTAACCTTTTGAAACTGGTAAAAATCCGGCTTCGAGAGAAAAGAAAAACTACGTTTGATTAATATAGTGGGTTCGAATTGATCGGACCATTTTTAAAAAGGTAGCAGTAACTGCCGATAGTGGAGAAATAATAGAGGTTAGGCGGCATCAAGAATTATTAGAGTGTAATAAGAGAGCAAACTCTCGCCTGAATTTTCAAAGTAAATTGGTAGGCTTGATGCGTTCTTCAGTTTGGCATCTTACGTAAGATTTGTATATTGTTCCAATTAATATATTTTAAGTATAGATAATTATTAGATTAAAAATAATAAATTAATTAAATAGTAGTATATTGACATTAAGTTATTGATATCACAACATATATTAGGATTGAAGATAATCTTGGCTTCATGAGTTAAATCTTTGTACGTGTGTATACTTTGCCTGTGCAGTTTCCTGTTATATCTTTTTGCAGTTTGTCCATGAACATCACTTTTTTATATTCGAGGGAAATTGCATTCCTAGCCCGTTAATATTCAATAGCATTATTTAGTTTTATTGTTTCTTACTAGCTTTTGGTCTTGTTAAAATAGTGAAATAATACTTAATCTATTATGCAGTCTGATGTGTACAAGTGGTGGAAGCCTAGCTGGAAACTTTATAGGGAGTTTGCAAGAGCTATAAAGTTTGCTCCAATAATATTCTGGGGTGTACTAGGGTATGTTCTCAAGAGCTATCATGTTTGCTCCAATAGTATTCTGGGATGTACTAGGGTATGTTCTTTATAAGATTGTTACGCTTTTAGATTGTTTCTGATATAACCTTCTTGTTTCTGTTCTTTACAAACTGATTTAGAATCTGCTTCGGTACATATTTTTCTTATTTCCATATGAAAGTATTAGAAATAAAGTTGAGGTAGAAAATGAGATAATCTTTGAATGGTTTGGGCATGTGCGTAGGTGACACTTCGAGGCCCGGTTTGAAGGGTAGGAAAAAAAAAAATTAAGAACGTAGATTAAAAAGGGGAGGGGTAGACTTAAGAAAACTTGTAAGGAAACAATAAAAATGCGGATATTTGTTTTGATCATGATGGCAACATGCGATCCATATAACTGACCCCACTTATGTGAAATTTTAACGACTTGTTGTTGTTGTATTTCTGCTTCTGCATCATTGTTTTAGGCTTTAGGATTTAGTTTTGATGTTGAAGAAGTCAACGGTGTTGAATTACAAACGTATAGACTTGTCTACCTAATTGGATCATTGCCTTTCCCATTGTCTACCTTGTAGTCACTTTTATTATAAAGAGGTTTGAGTATTAAACTATATTATAGGCCAACCCACATATACTTGTGGCCATGAGTCTATTCATTCATTCGTCCAAATACCTAAGGTTCTTAACATGGTATATATATATATTTTCTGATCTCACCTCCCACACCAGTTAACTCATTCAACTCATTGAATCGAGATCGACTTTTCGGCCATGTTTTGCCACTGAAATCTGCGCATGTAAGACACAAGCGTCGTCGGGATTTTCTATCGGCCATCCCACACGTCGGTGTGTGAGGGCGTGTGGCTCCGAAATTTTTTCTGATGCCACGTTCGTGGTGTCGAAATTTTGTTCCCTTGCCAATGTTTTTAGTTTTGTGGTTCGAGAGGTTTTGGTGTCCGTTTTGCCCTTTTTCAGATCCGTCACTTGTTTGGTTAGGTTCCAGTACTCTAATCCTCAAGACCTTCGTCAATTTATGTTTTTTGTCGTTACTCGTTTGTTGTGTGCTCTACGCTGCTCCTCACAGTAGCTTTATTCATATTTCATCGCTTCTTGTCGCGGCCTGATATTTGGCATATCGTGAAGGAATACCTATTGTCGTAAATCGTCGAATCATGTCGCAACTTCATGCAATTGTATCAAATATCACTCTTGGTTGTCAGTGGGCTTTTTATGTTGAAACCTCAACCGTGTTGAGGGGTTATGGTTTGGCTTTCCACTCGACTGATGATGGTCCCAAACGGAAAACCGATAATAGTAATGTTGCTAACATGAGGATATGTCAAATTAATGATGGGAAAATGATTGATGCCAGTGCAGTCAGTCCATGATTATGATCCTTTCGGATAGCTAATGGAATGTGGTTCTATTTGCAACAGCGATAGTGGTGCACTCTTGCACACACTTATGCACCGGTGGTGCTGGCGCTGTAAAATTAAACGAGTCTGGCTCGGCTCGAGCTCGACTTGTTAAGGCCTTAACGAGCTGAGCTCGAGCTCGAGCCGAGTTTGAGGCCTTAACGAGCCGAGCTCGAGCTCATTTAAAGCTTGTTTGGCTAACGAGCCGAACTCGGGTTGGCTCGATAAGGCTCATTAAGGCTTGAAAACAATTTTTTTTTTTTTATATTTCGGATTGTTAAGGCTCGAGCTCGGCTCGTTAAAGCCTTGAGCTCGAGCTCGGCTCGGCTCGGCTCGTTTACAGCTTTAGCAGCAACCGAGAATTTTTTTACTCAACATCCATAAGTTGGTAAGGTATCGTCAACGTTGTGCTGCTCGGGTTTGTAGTACAACTCTTGCTGCAAGAGGTCAGTCTTTGCAGCTACCGCCCGTCTTGTCAATGCTCCTCAATCTAGGGTCCTCGAATTAGGGACATCTTTTCATATGTGACGTCTGATCAGTCATTGCAACGGTCTCTGATGGTGGTACTTCTATTCAGACAGTGATGACACTTTTTGTCATATCACTCATGAGGGTTGTCTATGCAATTTATGTTTTTCAGTGCATAATCTGTTATTTTCCTAAGTTATCCATGAATCTTCTTTGGATGACTCATATTGTTTTATTCATGATCTTTAAAGCGGGTGTGATTGGGGTTGGCATCGCCATCAAGCTTCTCTGAGTCTCTACATTTTAGACACTTTGCACCTTTCCTTTTCCGCAGGTTCTACCACTCGTGTTTTCTTCGTTGTTCCATCTTCCACCTCAGCCTTCGCCAAGTGGCATCATTGGTCATTTGTGTCTCGTTTTTCTACTTTCATTAATTGATTAGTAATGGTTGTTTAGGTTGTACATCTATCGAGTCGAGTTCTCATTATAAGGTTTACAAGGAAAACAATTGCAACTCTAATGTTCTACTAGCATCTCTCATTCTTTTAGACTTTTTGATCTTATTCATTTTGATGTATGACATTATTCCTCTTTTCTTACAGAATGTGGCAATAAATATTTTATTGATCATTCGTTATACTTGGATTTATTTTATGAAGCATCGTCCCAATTGTGTTCCATATATAAAATTTTTGCTTGTATGATTCATACTCAGATTTCTACTCCTTTTCGAGTCTTTCTTTTGGATGCTGGTGTTGAGTATTTATCTGACAATTTTGTCAGTTTCTCATCTCATCAGTTTCTGACTTTTGAGGACACTCTTGCCCAACTCTGCACCATGCTCAAAATAGTGTTGCAGAAAGAATACACTTCCGATTGCCTCCTTTGTTCTTTTCATTTTTCGGGAGAGGCTGTGTCTACAACTGTTTATCTTATCAATCCGTAACTGTCATCCAAACTGTCTGGCGTGGCCTGGTGTGTCTGGCCTGGCCTGGCGTGTCTGGCCTAGTGATGTACTTAATGGTACTCTACTACCTATGATCATCTTTGCGTTTTCGGATGTATATGCTATGCTTTGCTTGCTCCTCGTGAGCACACTAAACTGACTGCTCAGTCCTTGCCTATTTGGGGTATAGTCCTGAGCATAAGAGTTGTTATGATTCTTCAGCTCGTTGAATTCGTATATCTCGTGATGTAACTTTCGTCGAGGACCGTCCTTTCTCTGTCAACTCTTCTACACACGCAGCATCTTCTTCTTCTAGAGATTACGTCCTTCTTATGTCTTCCTGCTCCAACAAGCCTTGAAATTATCTTGAGAATAGCACACTTGTATGTTACTGATGGAGAGATCTAATTGTGCTAATAGTTTGGTTGGTCGGACACGGTCGAGCGTTTTATTCCGTTGTCTGATTGACAGCAAATAACCATCTGCGTTATCATAGATGTGAATTTTTTTTTATTTTTTTATTATTTTTTTTTCATTCTTCTTGTTTTGAAAAATCACCGTCTTTTGTTGCTTCCCTAAATATTTAGAAGGATAGTTTGTTGATTTCAGTGGATTCTTTCGTTCTTACTTTTTATTGCATTTTTTGAGCAGGCCTCAACTTAGTTATCACTTAAAATGTTTGAGGGGCGTACAAGTATTTTGTCAAATAGAGCTGATTGTTTTAGTTTTACTGGAATTGGCTTAATGTTATTCTTGTCTGTCCTTTGTTAATCAGGCTTGAGAAGCATTTCCCTCATTATTCCACCTCATCCAGTGTGAAAATATTTTGATGGGAAAATAGAAATATACAAATTGTTCCATTTCCATACCACTGAATGTTTTCCCATTTTCGTGGTTTACCTGCAGTTCACCTCTACCTTTTAGGCATCCAATGCATGTGGTGGTTGGTCGGCCAATTGCAGTCGAGAAGAATCCACAACCGACAGTGGAAGAGGTAACCTTTACGTAGACATTTTACGCAAAGAATTCTTTGCATTGTGCTGTAACTGGTAATAATTCATTCGCATTAGTTCAAAATTCAAGTTTCACTCGATTTTTCCGTGCTTCTTACAGTGGTAAGATCTGGTCCGAAATTTAGGGTGTTATTGGATATAAAAAGGTTCCAGTGACATATTTTTTCATTGACATAGAGAGATTGGATGTAAAACATTTACCTAAAGCACTATTCAGTCCATCTCGCTATTTTTTCTTCAATCTCATCGACACAATTTAAAATAACATCATTGCTGTGCATTTTTTCGCATTTTGCAACAAAAACGTATTCACACTCGCATATTTTTAGCTAACAATCTTTACGAATCTATATCTCACAATGCCTGTTTTATGAACTGATCGTAAATATCCACGTAGAAGTTTACATTGGAAACAAACTACGAATTTCCAATATTCACAATAACATAATGCATTTCCTATTCCAAAATTCGAATAATAAATAAGTAAATGTTCGCCAACCGGGCATCTGCAGATTCCTCATTTCCTACTCTTCTCTCCCAACTTATTCGATATCCTTTTTCTTTTCGAGAATCAGATATTTTCTGTCTGTGGAGTCTATTGAAATTTTCTTTTCCTTCCAAGTTATAAAATGTTAATTATGTTGTGAAAGAAGATGGTACTACATGAAACAATCTCCATCTTTTTAGAATCTGCAGATTCCTCATAAAGATAGGTTTAAAGATGATTTTTTTTGCCATGAGGTTAGTTGTTTATCCCTGATCTTTCTTTCCTTGTAATTCGTTTAGGTCGATAAAGTCCATGCCCAGTTTGTTGAAGCACTTGTAGATCTGTTTGAAAGGCACAAAGCAAGGGTTGGTCATGGTGAACTACAACTGAGAATTCTGTAGTAACATCAGCTTCCCTCATTGGATTTATAGTTGGTGCTCGCGCTTCCGCTGTTGCAATATGTAAAATAGTAAAAAATAAAATAATTTATATTTGTAGCAGATTTTGATTGAAGGGGAAATTGTGCTACGCTTAAGTTGTTTCGCCCATTCTTTAAGTTACAAGGCTGAAGCACAAAAATTTCGATAAAATTGGACGCAATTTTTTTTTCCAACCGTCGTTTGTTTCGTGAGCTTAAGCATAATTGTTGCAACATTTTCGTTTGCAATTAATGGAGTTATTTTTATCTTTTATCTTTTTTTTTTATTTATTTATCGAAACGATAGAGAAAATATATTACTTCAAAGAAAGAGTTCAAGATACAACTGTAAACCGGAACTAGAAACTGAGAGGACACACACTAAGGCGGCCTAGAACCTCAAACTAGACAAATCCAAACTAGCCTAAGCCAAAGAAACTAAAACAATCAACTAACATGCTCTCCACTGCCGAAGCCTAGAGAACAAGAAAAACTACTAACAAAAAACCGAAACAAAAGAAAGAGACACAAGCAGATTATAAACTATCCAAGACCATGAAGTTGAGAAAATTCCATCCACTGCAAATGAGCAGTCTTGACTATCTGAGGAGCTGAGAGGTTGGTGTTTTGAAATATCCATAGGTTGCGCGTTTTCCAAAGCCACCACAACATGTAAGTGGTCAGTTGGATTCTGGATTTAGCCACATCAGATCGAGCCATGGAGCATAGATGAGACCACCATTCAGGGAATGATGAAGTGAAAGGTTTCAGGTCATCCCATTGCACTGGGGCAATATCCCACACCCTGCCAGCTTTAGAACAAGCAAATAGGACATGCTCAATTGTCTCAGTCTCACTGCCACAAGTTTGACAGATAGCATCCAACCTCAAACCTTTCTTCAACAAATTGAGTTTCACAGGCAATGATCCAGATATACATTTCTAGAGGAAATGTTTAATCTTGCCCACAACTTTCAGTTTCCAGCACCTTGTATAGAAATTATGCATGTTGTTTGAGGGGGAGCTACAACCAGGAAGGTCAAGAGCTAGTAGCTTTTGTTTAGACAAGAAATCATAAGTACTAGTACTGAAACCCTTTTTTTTGTCAAAGGACCAAAACATCCTATCAGCCATACTTGGTTTGAGAGTGGTAATGTCAAGGATAGCCTTGTAGTCAGCAGCATTAAGCAATTGAGAGACAAGCTAGTCATTCCATCTAGTACAAGAAGAGTTCAGAAGCTCACTGGCCCAAATGATATGTCCTCTAGCAATTTCAATCATGCAAGGAATTGGAGATATGCAAGAAGGAACCCAGCTGATGTCATCAACCCTGGTAGAAGAACTATTTCTAATCTCAACAGAGAAACCTTTAGCAAAGACATGAAGAACAGAGAGCCAGTTAGACTAAAGCCAGGATCAATTACAAGTCTTAACAACATAAAAAGTAGAGCAGTTGGGGTGATATCTATCTTTCAAGAGTCTGCTAACAAGGAGAGAAGGGTGCGAAGTGATTCTCCACAGCTGTTTACAGATTAAAGCTTTATTGAAGCTCTTCAGATCTAAAAACCCAAGACCTCTATCGGATTTAGGCAAAGAAAGGGCTGACCAAGATTTCCAATGAAGACCAGCCTCCTGATTGTCACCCTTGCTCCACCAGAAATTAGAACATTTTCTTGATATTTCAGAGCACAGAGATGATGGTAAAACAAAGCAAGTCATGAAAAAAGTGGGAAGAGCTTGCAAAATAGCTTTAATGAGGACTTCTTTACCTGCTAGGGACAACATTCTAGCTTTCCAGTTTTGGAGTTTGGCTTGTACAGAGTCCAAAATGTATTGAAAGGCATCCCTTTCTTATCTACCTATGCCCAATGGCAACCCTAAATACCTTGTTGATCTGTGTGCTGGAATGCCTTGCAAAGCTGTACAGATTCTGAGTTGCAACGGAATAGGAGTGCTTCTACTGAAAAAGATGGCAGACATGTGAAGATTAACTTGTTGCCCAGTAAATAGTCTGTATTTTCCAGTAAAGTTAAAGAGAGCATTAGTCTGTCCAACATCAGCTTTGCAAAAAAATAATGAATCATCCACAAATAGAAGGTGAGAAATGGGGGGGGAGGGGGATTTTTAGAGAGTTTTATACCCAAGAGCTGACCAGAGTTTAAGGAAGCAGTCACCAAAGCAGAAAGCAATTCAGCAACAATAAGAAAAAGATAAGGGGACAGAGGGTCCCCTTGTCTTAAGCCTCTTGAAGGGTTGACATATCTACCAACTGTACCATTCACTTTGAAAGAAAAGATGATATACAAACCATGATCAGAGTAACAAAGGTAGGAGAGAAACCCATTTGAAGCATGATAATCTTAACACAGAGCCACTCCACACGGTCAAAGGCCTTAACCAGATCCAATTTAATAGCCATAAAGTGATTCTTACCAGAGCTGTGTCTGTTGATATAGTGGAAGGCTTCTTGTGCTATGATAACATTGTCTGAAGTTGCCTAGCACTAATGAATGCAGACTGGAAATCACTTATGCAAGAATGCAGACAAGATTTGAGTCTCAAAGCCAACAACTTAGAAAGAACTTTATAGACCACAGTACAAAGGCTGATTGGCCTGAATCGAGATATATATTCAAGATTGATGCATTTTGGAATGAGGGTCACAATTGTATTATTCCGATATTTCAGCATAAGACCATTCTCAAAGAAACTTTGAATAGCAGAAGTAAGATCAGCTTTAATAAGACTCCAAAATTTCTGATAAAAAAAAGCTGTCATACCATCTTCACCTGGAGTCTTGTCTGGGTCAAGGCTGAAAAGAGCAGCTTTGATTTCATCCTCCTGGACAGGCTTGAGGAGGTCCTGGTTCATATCATTGGTAATTGAGGGTGTAATTAGCTGCATGATACTCTCACCTCCCTTCTGAAGAGAAGAGGTTAGCATAGAAGCTTGAGATGTGAGTTTGGATCTCCTGCTGGGTTAAACATTCCCTGCCCTGTGGAGTTAGCAATCTAGTAATTGCATTCTGCCTTCTCCTTTGAAGAGTGTAGGCATGAAAAAAACTAGAATTGCAGTCACCTCCCCTCAGCCATTCTTCAGTGTGATGAGCGTTCTCCAGATCAGCTTTAGTAGAAGTCCATTCATTCCACTTATCAGAAGATTGGTAGTTATCAGGAGCTCCAGTTTGGCAGAAAGGTGCTCATTTTTAATTGGTTGTCAGTTTTGAACTTAGCACTCCATCTAATAAGAGCTCGCCTTGTGAACTTAATCTTCTCTTTCAGAATAAAGAAAATGGTTCATGAACACTTTTGAGTCCATGATGTCTTAACCACATCTTTAATGTCATCCCTGAGCAGCCAACGTTTATCTAAGTGAAATCTGCGGTGGCTTTTCTGAGAAGGAGAGCCTGTGTTGAGAAGAAGTAGTGAGTGATCTGAGGCACTTCAGGCAAAAGTGGAGATAGATGCATTGGGAAAGAGCTGGTGCCAATCTATAGAGCCAAATCCCCTGTCAAGTTTTTCCTGAATTAGCCCTTCAGAGAACCGATGATTGCACCAAGTAAATTGAAATCCATTCATCTTAATTTCATCCATAGACATTGAATTAATGAAGTCAATAAAACCAGCTAGACTCCTGTCACTCCTTGGGGTGCCTCCAATTTTGTCAGAGTGAAAGAAAATATCGTTCCAGTCCCCTATTATGAACCAAGTGTCTTGCCATTTGCTTCTTTCTTCTTCAAGTAATTTCCATTGTTCTGCTCTTGTGGAAGCACAAGGACTGAGATATACAAAAACTGCCCAACTCAAGCCCCCATTGTCCAATGAGTATTCAACTGCTATAAAACTGGTATGACACACCATCTGAGCAATGGTGACATCTAGAGACCAAATGAGAAGTAAACCACCACTTAGACCAACTGGATCAACCACCGCGTGTCTGTCAACAAAACCCAACTTGCGAACCACCGTTTGGACAAAAGGAGAAGAAATTTTAGTTTCAGAAAGAAAAAAGAAAGCGGGGGTGGTGAGATCTAAAAGTATCTTTAATTTGGTAAATCGTAGAGGGCCAACCCAGTCCTCGACAGTTCCACACCGCGGCTAACATTGATCACTTGGGTGCCACTCCAAGCTAGCCATCTCCACCTTAGTTGATTCAGATTTTAACTTCCTTTTCACTTCAGAGTTAATCAGCACATCTTCGGATTCAGGGACTTCTGCATATACTTCAGTAATGGTTCTTTTCCCAGAAACAGAGGCATTGATAATAGGCTTATGATCAGGTTTTCTGGTTAGCCTACCATCTTTATGAGAAGCTCTCTTCCAAGTTTTGGAACAAGAGGGGGCATGTTCAATCATAAGAAGATCAAGAGAGCTAGTTTAGACTGAGATTGGTGATATCAGAGTGTCTACTATCTCCTCCCAGATAATATATCAGTATTGGAATGATCATGCTGCTTTGCTGGTGAGGGGATCTTGGTAGGAATTGGGGTTGGATCCTTAAGAGATTTCACTGGTGTGGATTTATTTAAAACTTTAGTGCCATTTGAATCTTGAACTTCTGGCTGGTGATGGACTGCATTAACTTCTTCAACCACCAGGAGCTAATTTGCTTCGGGAATCTGACTCGTTGAAGTATTAGGAGTAGAGATTTGAACTGGTGTAGCAGGAGAGTCTGATGACTGATAATGAGAACCTGGGTTACTGGTGGTCGCCCATTGCTGAAATTCTGGTGCTCTCATCCAATTCCCATATTGGCCATCTTTGAATGACTTTTGAGCAATATCATCCATTTTGTTTTTGCAGCTTCTATCCAAGTGCCCAATGAAACCACAATAGTTGCACATGTTCACCAATTTTTCATATTTAAAACTAACTTTAACCAACTGATCCCCCAATCTGATGGTAGCACATCTAGGTAGAGGTTCTGAAAGATTGACAATAACTAGAAGCCTGAGAATTTTTCCTCTATGACTTCCAGCTCCAG